CTGATGGGCTGTAGCCTCACACTGTGAACTTTTACCCTTTAAGTTGCCTTTGCCGGAGCATTTTACCATAGCAACAGGAACAGTAACGAAGACAGCTATACGGATCAACAGAAGAGAGTTAGAAACCCATAAAAAAATGGGCTTTTTTAATGTATCTTATGACACTTACAGTTAGCTTATGAGAGGATGCATGTTTGTGTAGACACAGGTACACACACACATGTGTTCACATCGATGTGGAGGCCTGAGGTCAATGTCAGGTGTCTCCTTCAGTCATTTTCCACCTTATTTTTGAAGTTTGTTATATGTATGCATTTTGCTGAGGGGGGCACACACCACAGCAAGCATGTGTGTACATGTGAAAGTATGGCAAGCATGTGTGTACATGTGAAAGTCATGGCAAGCATGTGTGTACACATGAGGGTTACATCATGGCAAGCATGCATGTGCATATGAAAGTCATGCCATGGTGAGCATGTGTGTACAGGAGATTTTCATGCCATGGCAAGCATGCATGTGCATACGAAGATCAAAGGACAACCGGCTGGAATCACTTCTCTCCTTCCACAACATGGGTCCCAAAGGTCAAACCTGGGTCGTCAAATTCAACAAGAGCTGCTACCCACCGAGACATCTTGTGAGCCCTCCACCTCCTTTTTGGGACAGGGTCACTTACTGATGCTGAAACTCACCACCAATTGGCCAGGCTGCCTCACTCCAGGGGTCTCTATCTGCCTGTCTGCATCTCCAGAGGGGTCTATCTGCCTGTCCTGCAACTCCAGGGATCTCTCTGTCTGTCTGCATCTCCAGGGGTCTATCTGCCTGTCTGCATCTCCAGGGGTCTGTCTGTCTGCCTGTCTGCATCTCCAGGGGTCTGTCTGTCTGCCTGTCTGCATCTCCAGGGGTCTTTCTGTCTGCCTGTCAGCAACTCCAGGGGTCTCTCTGTCTGTCTGCATCTCCAGGGGTCTATCTGCCTGTCTGCATCTCCAGGGGTCTGTCTGCCTGTCTGCATCTCCAGGGGTCTGTCTGTCTGCCTGTCTGCATCTCCAGGGGTCTGTCTGCCTGTCTGCATCTCCAGGGGTCTGTCTGTCTGCCTGTCTGCATCTCCAGGGGTCTGTCTGCCTGTCTGCATCTCCAGGGGTCTGTCTGACTGTCTGCATCTCCAGGGGTCTGTCTGACTGTCTGCATCTCCAGGGGTCTGCCTGTCTGAATCTCGGTCTCCCAACTCCACCCTCAGCACTGAATCAACAGACAAAAGTTGCTGCGCCTGGCTTTCTCCTGGGTGCTGGATGAACTCAGTCCCCCGTGCAAGGCGAGCTCCTTACCCAGTGAGCCATCTTAATCAACTTTTACAAGTGTGCCATGACCAGATAACTGTGGAATAAGAGTCTTTTCAACAAATAGTGACAGGATAGCCGGATACGAGTGTGCAGTTGAATGGAGTTGGATACAAAAATTACTTCAAAGCAAACCAAATATCTAGTGTAAGAGTCAGAAATATCGACCTAGGAGAAGAAAACGCAGGGAAACCTTGGCTCAGGTAAAGCAATGGCCTTAAAGCTATCAAACCAAAAGCTATGAATAACAACAGAAAAAGATGCTAAATCAGATGCCCATGTTTAAAACATTCGCACTTTAAAGGACATCATTGGGAAATACAGATTTCCAACCCATAGAATGGGTTTTTTTGGCAAAACATTCATGTGAAAACTGACATACATCCAGAATGTAAAACGATCTCAGACTTACACCTGAATAATCAATAGAAAAATAACCTAATTTTAAAAGGGAGACAAGGGACTTCAAAACGTATCTTTCTACATAAGACACTGGAGTGGCCAGTAACCTCAGGACACAACGCTCATCGCTGCCACAGAGGTTCAAAGTCCGCAGATGTCACCTCACACCGTCTGCAACACCTACAAACAAGATCGCATCTAACAGCAGACACCAGGGAGGAACTGGAGAATTCGGGAAGAACAATCCCATGTGAGCACACATGATGCAGACATGTGTGCTCACGTGTGCTCACGTGTGCTCACGGGTGCTGTCTGGGAACTTAGTGAGTAGCGAGCATTGCTCATCACAGACAAAGGTCAGGAGGAAATACCATTGTCCAAAAAAAAAAAAAGGAATAAAATGCTGAGTTGTACTACAACGTGGAAGGGCTGAAAATCGTTATATAAGGCAGTATGGCCACACACACCTAGAATCCCAGCACTTAGGAGGTAGAGGCGAGACAACCAGGAATTTGAGTCTAATCTGGGCTACAAGAGTCAGAAACTCAAAAACAGGACTGGAAGATGGTTTAGTGGGTAAGATTTTTTCCCTTATCAGCAAGTCCTAGGTCTCCAAATCCACATTACAAAACTAATTAGAAAAGGGGAAAAAAAGTAATCCCAAAAAAAATCTCTCTGGGGCCCACTGGCCAGCTAGCCTAGCCTACGAGGTGAGCTCAGGGGTCACTGAGATCCTATCTTTAAAGCAGCTGGATGGCACCTGAGGAGAGGCACCCAAAGTTTTCTTTTGACCTCTAAATGCACATACATACATACATACATACATACATACACATGTGTGTGCTCCTTACACGATCGCACCCATACACACAGGAACACACACACGCACATGCATGCACACACACACAAATAAAAATAATTTTTAAGAGGGCATAGAACTGTTTGTAGCCATGGAGATGGCGGTGAAAACCGACCAGGGGCTGGGGCGCGGCTCAGTGGAAGGATGCATCCTTGGCAAGCACTAGCAAGCGCCAGCAGAGATTCTGGCTGGTTGCGCCGTGGCTTCCTGCTCCCCCATCTTAGGCCTGGTCAGGGTGTGCCATTCTGGAAAGAACTAGTCTCCACTACCTGCTGGTCTCTAGATCAGGAGCCGGAGTCACTGGAGCTCTGCCGCCCGAAAGTGACGTGCGAGCTTGCGTGCCACCAAAATGCAGAGGAGGAGCAAGGCTGAGCGGTCGCCATGCCGACGGCTCATGCTCCACCACGGAGGTGAAAAGAATAGGAAACTCGGGAGCTGTGTGATTCATAAATTGCAAAGAGTGTGTGTGCTTGAGCTGAAATAGCTCGCAAGTGAGGGAGGAGAATGTGGAGACATCGTGAGGCCCACACCCAGGCCCCTGGGTGCTCCGGGGCCGTTTATTAGCATCGTCTCAGCAGGCAAAGTCTGCCCACCCGCTCTCCACTGAAACCCCACTAAAGTCACCCAGATCAGTGACACAGTGGTGCAGGCCCTGCCTTCTCCCCGCCTTACCCATCTACTCTACTCTCCCAAGACCCTGGGACTTCATGCTGCCTCCCAGTGCCACAGGAACACAAGGGGCAAAGCTTGGGTGTCTTACCCACTGCCCTGCATCTGCAGCCAAACACGGAGGCTTACCATTTGTCAAACTATTGGTGGCAGAGGGCTCACGGGCCAGGCCTTAGCGGTAGCCAATGCATCATTACCATTGTCTTCCGGGCTGCCGGATTGAATAGGATCAATTCGATCCAGGAATCGATCCCACAGACATAACTGCTATGGTGCTCACACGTTTAACAACTACAACACGCGCGCTAGCACTGTTCTGAGCAGTTTATTCGCTAACACTCTGGACAACCCAGCAAGGCTGGTATTGTTATCATTATTATTATTATTATTTATGCTTGACAAAAGTGAGGTGAGGGAGATTAAGTGGCCCGGGGTCACACGGTTAGCATGTACTAAAACCAATACCGATACCAGCATGCCAAAAGTGGATACCACCTATCCATTTGACTGACGTTGGAGAATAGCGACACAGGAAAAAAAATTGTTCATGGATAGAACGAAGAGAGAATTCATGTCTGTAAATATACTACAGAAGAGGAAATGATCCCCTACAGCTCCATCAATAGGTCACTAACAAAAATATATGTGACTCTGAAAAAACTAACCTTTGTTTTTATTTTGTGTATGGGTGTTTTGGCTTGATATATGTCTGTGCACAGTGTGCACGCAGGGCCTGTAGAGGCCAGAAGAGGGCGTCAGACACCCTGAAACTGGAATTACAGGAGGTTTAGTGAGCTGTCGTATGGGTGCTTGGATTTGAACCCAGGTCCTCTGCAAGAGCAGCCAGTACTCTAAACCACTGAGCCGTCTGATCATCCACATTTTCTAAGTGTTCTGCTGCAGTAACCACAGCTCAGAGAGGAACAAAGAGACAGAGGGCAGAAGCAACTCATGCGTAAACCTGAACTAAAAATTTTCAAATATAAAACAGAACGTGGTCCGTTTGAACAAAGCAGAAAGAGAAAGGGCAATCGTATTCCTTTAAATCTCAGTGAAGGGCTGTGGCACTCAGACCAGTGTTTTCCCAAACATAGCATGAGTCCCAGTGAAGCATGTGTGGGAAGAGTTCAGTCTGGCTCAGCAGAGCTTTGATATGTCAGGCCTGAGGACAAGACTCTGTTTTCCCAGTGTCTAGAAGGAGCTAGCATTCCTTGGCGGTGGGCAGTGCCAAGCCCTAACAGCGGAAGAACAGTACGACTCCTGGGCCGAGTTACACCCAAGTCAGGAAGACACTCGTGGAGAAAGACACGAAGCCCAGGAACCAACGGGGCACCAGGGTGACTTTGGGATCTGAAAGAAGGGGTGTAACAGCTAGGGGTGAGGTGGGAGAGTCTGCAGCAAGACCATTTGTGGGACTGTCTTCCCAAGCCAGACTTGGCCAAGGGATGAGGGAGGGGACGTACACAATGTGTGTCACCTGCGTGTCGGGGTTCAATTCTCCCGACATAGGTCCTCAGGTTTAACCACAGATGGGTACCCCCTGTGATTAACCGCTGAAATGCGGATATTAAATAATTACAGAGGGAGAGACTTCAGTCTCACAAGGGAGCAGACCGGAGAGCGGGCCAGGAAGCCGGAATCCACTAGGTGGTGTGTCCCAACTTCTCCAGCCCCTGACGAAGCTCACCCTTCAGGGTCCTCTGAAAGGGTGCGGGAAGGGGGTAAGAAAGTACCTTCGCAGCTCATTCATGACCTTGAAGGCCTTCCCCATGTGGGCAGGGTTGACAGTGACTGTCCTCTGGCTCTGCTCCTCATCCTGGGCCTGCGCTGTGGACTGAGGACTCAGCTTGACGCTGTGAGCAGAAGAGGGAGGGAAAGAGAGGCCTCGCATTAGCAAGCCCAGCGGTACACCTTCCACCGCAGACTCAAGCCACCCACAAGGGGCGGGCGTCTGCCTCCGCCTGCTGTCCTCACCCAAGACAGCAGGGGAGGAAATACTTCAGCATTTCTGCAGGACCTGCCAGTGCACAGCCGCTTTTCTCTGCAGGAAGCCAGCCAGGCTCCAGCTCAGGCTCTTACCCTCACTCTTCCCTCCCTTCCTCCCTCCCCCAAAAGGGCGTGGTGCAGTGCTCAGGCACTCACTGTATGGGGATGCCGGTCCACTTAGCCGTTAATGGGAGCTAATATGTGACAGGGGTTGTGTGTCAGCTCAAGGGAAGCATGATGGGAAGCAAAGGCCAGCCCCTCCCATCACAGAATTCAGGGTTCGGTGGAGCAGACAACGTGTAACAGTCAAGCATCATGTTTTAGAGATTTAGTTACTCGTGTATTATATATATATATATATATATATATACATACATACATACATACATACATACATACATACATATGAGCGCTCTGTCTTCACGCACACCAGAAGGAGGAATCTGGATCCCATTACAGATGGTTGTGAGCCACCATGTGGGTGCTGGGAATCGAACCCAGATCCTCTGCAAGAGCAGCCCATGCTCTTAACCTCTGAGCCACCTCTCCAGCCCCCAAACATCCAATTTTAAGCATTACAGTTCCATGGGAGCCTACAGAAGCGCGGGGGATCGATTCAGTGATGCCGGAGCAGGGAAAACGGCCCAAAAGCAGAGGCCTGACAGAGGCGCTTAAAGCAGCCAGTACCTTAGAAAAGCAGACAGTGGCCCAGACGACGGCGACAGCAGGCACAGTGACCAAAGAGGAAACCACTGAGTGTGTTCAAAGTGCCGGTGGTTCCCGGAAATGGGGCCATGGGAGGAAATGTTAGTTGGAGGAGTTTTCCTCCTGGACCAGGGGAAGGGCAGGAATGGGTTTTAAACAGAAAGCAAATCAACTCATCTATAATCTAGAAAAACCGCAGTGGCTAGAGTCTAGGGAACAGGGACTCACCAGTGAAACCTTTGGGGGAACCATAAGTCCATCCAGGACCGTGATGGGGCTGGAGAGACAGCTCGGCATTTAAGAGCCCTGGCTGCTCTTGCAGAGGACCTGGGTTCAATTCCCAGCACCCGCATGGTGGCTCTCAGCTGTGACTACAGTTCTAGAGGCTCTGAGCCCTCTTCCGGCCTCCACAGGCACCCCAAACACACGCGGTACGCAGACATGCACGCAGGCAAAACACCCGTCTACATAAAACAAAGTAAAAGTACGAATTTTAAAAACAAAAACGGGAGTCTGTAGTTGTGGGAAACATAGACTGTATGACCTGTGTGCCACCAACAGCCACTCTCTCAACACTTCCTGCACTAGAATCGAGGTGTAAAAACGTGTGGATGTGTTGCAATGTCCTGGGAGCAGGAAGGAGGAATCAACAGAGGGACCAAGAAAGGGCGTGCTCCTCAGACAGGAGCTCCAGGGTCAAATCCAGAACCTTGGAGGGAGCCGCTCAGGCCAGACACCACTCTGTGAGCTGGAACACAGAAATGTTCCCATTTGTGCGGCGCTGGGGGCCTGCAGTTTATCCCAGCTCTCGGACCTTGAAGGTGGCCCTTAGACTTCCGATATCAAGCAGTCCCCCATCCGTCGCCACCGCACCTTACAGACTGTTGGAGACAATGATTCGTTTAAAGAGTGTGTGCCAAAGCCCTGGGACTCTTCAGAGAGTTCACACTGCTATTCGTCTCTATTTGAAATGCCAGACCTACGGTTTGTCTGACCATAGCAGACCCCTCCTTGGGCTCCTGCCTTCCCCCACCTTTCCCTCTCCCCCTCCCCTGCCGTCCCCTCCCCTCCCCTCCCCTCTCCTCCCCTCACTTGAGCATGCCAGTGAACTCTGGGGCTGTTTGGAGTCCTTGCACAAGGAAACCAGCTGAACAGAGGAAGATAAATATCAAGATGTACAGAGATGATTAGAGTTATGTATTCAAGCAGGTTTTTAAAAAAGCCCAGGACTGGAGAGATGGCTCTGCGGTCAGGGCTGCTCTTTTGGGGGGGCCTGGTTTGAGGCCCTGCACCCATGAGGCAGCTGCCTGAAACTTCAGTCCCAAGAGATCCAACACCCTCTTCTGGCCTCTGCCAGTACCAGGTACCCGTGCGGTACAGAGAGACATGCACACAAAACACTCACACACGTAAAATACATACATACGCAAATTAAAATCTCAAGCCAGAAAACATAGCCAGAGAGAGGGGGCACCCAGCAAAGATGAAAAGTTTTCAGCCCGAGGTCAGAAGGGTATGGTCTGTCCTCCTTCCTGGTAAAAGTGCAATCTCTCACTTTTGGTGTGCAAGCTCGTTGTTTATTAGATACTGAATTGTAGATCACAGTGTCAATAAGAAATTCGAATTTTCCAATGGGTTCTATTTATTGATTTTTATTTTTCCCGTTCCCGTCATAACACCTTAGTTCACAAGGCTTCACTTTCACGTGCATACCCATCTGCTTTTGCCTCTCTAGAGGTCGCTTTACACAAATACATTGTTTCTGTAGCTTCCTAATGCCTGTTTCTGACAGGTTAAGTCCTCAAGCCTTTGACTGTTCTTGAGAAATCACCTGTATATTCCATCTGGTCTCTTTATTCTTTCTACAAATCAGCTTGTCAAGTTCCACGGAAAACCCTGACAGGCCTGTGGTGGAGACGGCTTGATTTATAGATCAATTTAGGCTGAACCAACACTTCTTTAAAGATATTTCTCCCTGTCCGTGAACATGGGGTGTCTTCTATTTACTTACATGTAATCCTTTAAATTGTGTGTGTGTGTGTGTGTGTGTGTGTGTGTGTGTGTGTACCTGCCTGAATGTACATATGTGTGCCACATGCATTCAGAGGACCACAGAGGCCATAAGAGGATTTCGGGTCCCCAGAACTAGTCTTACAGTTGCGTATGAGCTGCTATGTGGGTGCTGGGAACTGAACTCCAGGCCCCTGCCAGAGCAGTGAACGCTCTTACTCACTGAGCCGTCTTTCCAGCCCCGAAGATACTTTTGTTTCTTTTTACCTTGTTTCTATTGAGCTATATACATTTTCCTCACTCCCCTTCTGCTCTCCCCTCTCCCCTTCCACCCTCGCCCATGCCTGTCACATTCCCAATTCACTCAGGAGATCTTGTCTTTTTTCCCTTCCTAGGCGGATCCATGCATGTCCGTCTCTCTTAGGGTCCTCTTTATTACCTAGGTTCTCTGGGTTGTGGCCTGTAGGCTGGCTGTCCTTTGCCTTATGCCCAATATCCAATTAGGAGTCAGCACATATTATATTTGAATATCTGGGTCTGGGTTACCTCACTCAGGTGTTTCCTTTCTTGTTTTTCCAGACAGGGTTTCTCTGTGTGTAGTTCTAACTTTCCGGAAACTCACTCTGTAGACCAGGCTGGCTTCAAACTCACAGAGATCTGCCTGCCTCTGCCTCTGCCTCCCGAGTGCTGGGATTAAAGATATGTGCTCTCAACACCTGGCCTCTGTGGGTCCTTTTTAATGTCACTCGTGTGTGTGTGTGTGTGTGTGTGTGTGTGTGTGTGTGTGTAGATAGATAGATAGATAGAGATATATTTCTAAATATCTTGCACACATTTTGTTAGATTTTACCCTAAGTATATTCCATTTTTCGTATTATTTTATCATAGAAATTGCCCTTTTTAGCTGGGTGATGGTAGCATATGCCTTTAGTCCCAGAGCTGGGGAGGCAGAGGCAGGCAAATTTCTGTGAGTTTGAAGCCATCCTGGTCTACTAATCAAGTTCCAGGACAGCCAGGGTTCTTACACAGAAAAACCCTGTCCCAAGAAAAAAAAGAAAAAAAGAAAGCAAGAAAGAAAAGGAAAGGAAAAGAAGAAAAATTGTCCATTTGTTGTAGAATATTATTTTAACTAGGCAAAGATCGTTATACTTGTTTATGTTGCAGAATGTTACTTTAACCGTGTAGGTGTGTTACTTCTGTTTATTCTGCATTTGTTTAATTATGTAAAGATGTGTTGCATTTGTTTCACCTTGCCTGCCTAAGGCACCTGGCTGGTCTAATAAAGAGCTGAACATCAATAGCTAGGCAGGGGAGGGTAGGTGGGGCTGGCGGGAAGAGAGAAATCTAGGCTAGAGAAGGAAGGGAAGAGAACAAGGGAGACACCAGGAGCCAGAAGCCAGGCAGCCATCAGCCAACCAGGCATAGAGACATCAAGAAAATGCAACCAACCAGGTTAAAAGAGCTAGCCAGAAACAAGCCTAAGCTATGCCGAGATTCAAAACTAATAATAAGTCTGTGTCATGATGTGGGAGCTGGTTGGTGGCATCCTTTTTAAGGTATATTTGCTGGTTGTTGCAATTTATGAAATATAATTACATTTACAATTGATCTTCTAGTCAGCCTCCATACCAAATGATCTCATTGTATCAAATTATTTGCCATTAATTCAATTAAATGTTCTTTGTAGATAAATTTTATAGTATTAGTGTATAATTTCAGAGATAATATTCTCATTCTGTGTGTGTGTATATGTGTGTATGTGCGTGTAAATGTTTATGTGTGTATATGTGTATGTGTGTATATGTATTTTTGTGTATATGTATGTGTATGTGTGTATATGTGTGCATATTTATGTGTGTGTATATGTGTGTGTATCTGTCTGTCTGTCTTTGTTTTATGATCCTCCTGCCTCAACTCCCTGAGTGGCTGGAAGAACAGGTCTGTGCCACTAAACCTAGCTTCTATTTTTTTTTAATTACTTCAGGCTTATGGGTATTTTGTCTGCGTGTGTGTCTGTGTACCACAAGTGTGTACCTGGTACCTGTGGAGGCCAGAAGGGGGCATCTCATCTCCCAGACCTGGAGTTACAATGTTTGTGAACCGCCACACAGGACAGGTGCTGGAACCAAAGCCCAGCCAGCGCTTTTAATTG